GCTTTGCGCCGTCTCCCTGGTCTGCTGACCTGGGAGACGCGGAGCAAAGCCGCAGAGCACGCGGGCAGCGGGACAGTCCAGGAGCGCCGCGGCTGTCCCACTGCTGGCGTGCTCCGAGGCTTTGCTCCCCATCTCCCTGGTCTGCTGGTCGGGAGACGGGAAGCAAAGCCGCGGAGCACGCCCGCAGGGGGACAGCTCAAGTGCGCCCGGGCTGTCCTGCTGCGGGCGTGCTCCAAGGCTTTGCTCCCCGTCTCCCTGCAGACCAGGGAGATGGGGAGCATCTTTTCTCACCCCGGAGGACGGGGGTGGCGGACCGCGGCGCATTTGTGCATCCCGCCGCTCCTGTCCTCCGGCGCGAGAAATGCCCCGTTCGTAACTGCGGATCCGACATAAGTCGGATCCGTGTAACTCGGGGACTGCCTGTATTCAATATTTTGTTTTATCCTCATTGCTCAATATGTGACCTTATTTACTGTACATTAATAAACGCCTGCTCTGAATACAGCATTAATAATCACTTCATGGGCTTTTATCTGGTGCATTTCACTATAAAAATGATTACCTACCCTTTGTAATTTTTGTCCTTTGATATTATTTGTTCATGTTCATTCCAGTCTCATTTCAGAGAATTTTTCCCTTAGTAGTACACAGTGAAGCCCTCTGGCATGGCACCTTTAAGGTGCAGTATATAGGATACTGCCAAGTCCTCACCCTTTCCATTCCTTCTTGCCCTATTTGTCCGACAAAAGGTAGGTGAGTGGGATTTGGAATGCACATGAGCAACTCATCTCGAGGAACAACAGTTATGAAAGGTAAGTAACTTTTTTTTTTGCACCCTGGATACATACAAAGCATACAGGTAGATGTGATGGAATATGCAAAAGTCCAACCGGAGCAGGGCTTCTTGGCACAGGGGAGAGGAACAAGCACCACCCTGTTTGTTTCTATAGAACATCAGTGCAGTATTATCTGTAAGTACCGAGACACACTGGTCCTGCAGCTGGAGTATGAACACCTGGCACACTAGTCGCACTGTCCACAGCTCCCTGACACAGATGTGAAGGGAGAGCTCTGCTTCAGACCACCTGATTCCTGAGCATGGCTAGGTGTACCCCCCTTCCCAAGTGTCCATGCTAAGGAAGTGTGTGGGCTTTGGCTGGTAAATGGGCACTCTGGCTTGTGCCACATGAGGCTACATCCACAAGGACTGGGATTGTAGCAGATGGGTTGGGAGGGTTACCAGTCTGTCAATGGAGTGTCTGCTGGGCCTGTAGACCTCTGTTAACCATGACTGTAGCAGGTGTAGTCACAGACTGGCATGCTGAACTACATAGATGCAGGCTGCCATGTGACCTAAGTCACATGCAGGTCCGTGCCATGGTAGTAGGGAGCTGCTGAAGGGAGTGGATGAGGCCCAAAAGCGGCCCTCGGGTAGGAAGCCTATGGGTTGGAACCAGGGTGGACTTGGGTTCATTCAGGAGGAAATCTGGGTCCGTGAAGACAGCCCTGGCCAGGGCGACGTGTGCCAGAACCTATTCCTTGGACCTGCACCTGCTAAGGCAGTCATCCAGATATGAGTGGACATGCACCCTGCACTTCCTGAGGAAGGCCACGATGACTGCCATGCATTTTATGAATACCTGAGGGGTCATGGAGAGGCCACACGGGAACGCAGTGAACTGACAGTGATAGTTCCTTGACCACAAACCTGAGAAATAGCATGTGATCTGGGAAAAGAGAGATATGAAAGTATGGATTCTTCAAGCAAAGGCTGGTGTTCCAGCCCCCCAGATTCTGGAAGAGTAGGCAGACAGGGAGACCATTCAAAACTTGAGCCTCCTATAAAGGCCCTGAGGTTCCACAGGTCCAATATGGGCCTGAGCCCACCTTTGGCCTTGGGAATAAAGAAATACTGGGAGTTAAGGCCCTGAACTCCCTGGGGACCTCCTCTATACCACCTAGTGTGAGGAGCCCGTGCACCTCCTGCATGAGAAGGTGCTTGTGAGAAGGGTCCCTGAAGAGGGGCGGGAAGAGAGAAGAGAGGGCAAGAGGGAGTGGAACTGGGTAGAATAACCTGCCTTCACCATGCTCAGGACCCAGCAGTCTGAAATAATCTGAG